GAGAACTTCGGTAGGTCCTGTTGGATCGTGTGAGCATATGTGCCCGGAATGCAAAGCACACTTTTGAAAACCTACCAATCTCTGGGACTGGAACATCTTGTACTTCTACATAAAAGTCCGGACCTTCATTGACCACGACGCCTCCTTTACAGGTTTTCGGAATCTCAAATGTTTGGACTTTGTCTTGTGCCATGTTGAATGGAGTCTATGATAGCCGGTAAAGCTACTGAAATGACTGGGGTTATCGCAGAAGAAGAGGGAGAAGAAGAAGACCGATGGAGTGACTAGAAAGTAGGAAGCAGAGCAGTATATACATAGATAGCAGTTGTATGTAGGCGAACACCTCGGTATATCTTCACCCCACTTCAAGAAGGGAGCCCTATAGCTTCTCCAACATTTGCCGGACGGAATGGAAACGGGCCTATTAGTACAAACAAGCCGGTGAAACGCAGATGAACCATTCCAGTCAAGGGTACGAGGGCATTGATTACTATACGTACAGACTGCTTTGAATCAGGTGGCTTGTCTCGCAGGGTCGACTTGTACAAGTTGGGAGCGGCAATTTTGCGGGCAACTAGCTTCCCCATGTCGAGGGCCCCTGTTGAGAGGCTATGCGGGGCAATGTATGTGGGGTTGGCATGGCACTCAAACACTATGTAAGCTGACAGTGTTGCAAGCATGTCCTAGATGGAGGAAACCGGTGTTTTCTTGTCGCATCTTTAGTGTAGTGTAGTGTAGTAGAAAGGGCGGAGGCGCGGAATTGCTGGAATGTCATACCGAAGAGAGAAGATTCATGGTGAGTACAAGCAGTAGAGTATGTCTGGAGTAGTTGAAGGCTGGTGACCGGGCTTCAAGTTGGCGCACATCATTTCCGAGTTGTTGGCTAAATGTTATCTTCTTCGCCTGAAGTAAGTAGTGTAGAGTAGTACAGAGCGACGTTGGGATAGCCTCACACGTGTAGCATTGGGCGACCGGATCGTAGAGATATGTCGGGGCATTGAGTCGTGGCAGCTAGTAAATGGCGTCGAAGCATCTAGCATTCTTGGACATACGTGTGCAGGCGTGGCAATTACGAGATACAGCCTAGTCTAGGACAGCAGATGATGTGTGCAGATCTGGAGTGCTTGTGCTTACTCAAAGCAGGTGTCGGGACTGTGCAGCACATGGAGCCGTCGTTTTCCGCCACCAGAGTCCTTGCGAGCCTCGGTGCGCAGGCCCATCACGTGATTTCGCGTTGGCCAATCAAACGGGGCGAATTTCATATGCGCCCTCGATCGTGATGCGGAACCGGTTCCGGTCGTGAAAGCGGGGTCTTCCAGTCCACATGCCTCTCACCTGACAATCTCGTGCAATTGACCGTCTACACTGGAATGCAGAGGGCGGGCACGTCAACTCTGAAGAGTGCAAACAATCTTAATGAACGAAAAAAAATTGATAGTAATCGCAAACAAAGTACATGTCGTCAGCCATGTGTTGTTGGCCACTGGGGACACCGGGAATCGTGTAGTGGGGTGACTGGCCATGATGCTAGGCAAAATCGAGCCATCATACGCGGACCCACTGCTCTGGCGACTTGGAGGGGAGAGGGGAATGGAGGGGAGCAGCGACCAGTGGCCAGAACGGGTGCTTATGAATGCCCCGCTACTCGCCGCTTATATACTTAGACGCTGCTCCCACTACACTGCTCTACAGCCTGTGTTTGAACCATTCACTCTCACAGCACACGACCCAATCATTCATCATGTCTAAAGGCGAGTGTCCTGTCAAGAAGGTGCCCAACGTCGCCGGCGCTGGCACACGAAACTCGGACTGGTGGCCAAATGAGCTCAGGGTAAACATCCTGCGCCAACACGACCCCAGACAGAACCCTCTTGGTCCTGACTTCAACTACGCCGAAGAGTTTAAGAAGCTCGACTACGATGCCTTGAAGAAGGACCTCACAGCCTTGATGACCGACTCGCAGGACTGGTGGCCTGCCGACTTTGGCCACTATGGTGGCTTTTTGTATGTTTGACCCTCTGCCCTTGCCTCTCTGTCTCGCCCTCTAACCCTGCAAAATAGCGTCCGTCTGGCATGGCACGCTGCTGGAACATACCGTGTCACTGACGGCCGTGGTGGCGGTGGTGATGGACAGCAGCGCTTTGCTCCCCTCAACGCCTGGCCCGATAACGTCTCCCTCGACAAGGCCCGCCGCCTGCTCTGGCCCATCAAGCAGAAGTACGGAAACAAGATCTCATGGGCCGATCTTCTGCTTCTCGTCGGAAACGTTGCCATTGAGTCCATGGGATGCCCAACCTTTGGTTTCGCTGGAGGCCGCTCAGACACCTTCCAGTCGGACGAGTCTGTCTACTGGGGCGGCGAGACCGAGTGGCTCGGCAGCGACGTCCGTTATGCTGATGGCGCAAAGGGTATCAAGGGCGAGGGCATCATGGACGGTGACCAGCACAAGAACGACGCCAAGGATACCCACACAGCGAGAAATCTTGAGCAGCCACTGGCTGCCGCACACATGGGTCTCATCTACGTGAACCCAGAGGGTAAGTTTCCTCTTGGAATACACGTCTCTGCTTGTTACTGACTCTTCCAGGTCCCGAGGGCGTACCCGACCCCGTTGCCGCCGCCCACGACATCCGCACAACCTTTGGCCGTATGGCTATGAGTGACGAGGAAACTGCTGCTCTCATTGTTGGTGGCCACACATTCGGAAAGACACACGGTGCTGCTCCCAGCGAAAACACTGGCCCAGACCCCAACTCGGAGGACCTTGGAACCCAAGGTCTCGGCTGGGTGAACAAGCACGGCAGTGGCAAAGGCCCAGATACTATCACCAGTGGTCTCGAGGTCACATGGACTAGCACTCCCGTCAAGTGGAGCAACAAGTACCTAGAGTACCTCTACAAGTTTGAATGGGAGCTGGAGAAGAGCCCTGCTGGTGCCAACCAGTGGGTTGCTAAGACAGATGAGGAAATCATTCCAGACGCCTACGACTCCAACAAGAAGCACAAGCCCAGGATGCTTACCACTGACTTGTCGATGCGCATGGACCCTGCCTACGAGAAGATCACCCGCCGCTGGCTAGACCATCCCGAGGAACTGCATGACGCTTTTACTCGTGCCTGGTTCAAGCTTCTTCACCGTGACATGGGTCCCCGCTCCAGGTGGATCGGCCCGGAGATTCCCAAGGAGATTCTTCTCTGGGAGGACCCTGTCCCTGAGCCCGAGGGTGAGATCATTGGCGAGTCTGAGATCCAAACTTTGAAGAAGCAGGTTCTCGACGCTGGCATTGAGCCTGCCAAGCTTATCCGCACTGCTTGGGCTTCAGCAGCTTCTTTCCGCGGTAGCGACAAGCGTGGTGGCGCCAACGGTGCTCGCATCCGCCTCGCTCCCCAGAAGGACTGGGAGGTAAACAACCCCAAGGAGTTGGCTGAGGTTCTCAAGGCTCTTGAGGGCATTCAGTCCAAGTTCAACAGCAGCAGCAGCAAGAAGGTCTCTCTGGCCGACTTGATTGTCCTTGCTGGTACCGCCGCAGTTGAGAAGGCTGCCGGTGTGCCTGTTCCTTTTGCGCCAGGCCGCACCGACGCTTCCCAGGAGCAGACTGACGTGCAGTCTTTCGAGCACCTTGAGCCCGTCACAGACGGTTTCCGCAACTACGGAAAGGGCACCGAGCGTGTCCGCACCGAGCAGCTCGACGTTGACAAGGCCCACCTCCTCCGGCTTACTGCCCCCGAGATGGTTGTTCTCACTGGTGGTATGCGTGCGCTGAATGCCAACTGGGACGGCTCCTCTCACGGAATCTTTACCCAGCGCCCCGGTCAGCTCACCAACGACTTCTTCGTCAACTTACTCGACAACAACCTTGAGTGGAAGGCAACCGACGCTAGCAAGGAGTTGTACGAGGGTTTCGACCGCAAGACTGGCCAGAAGAAGTGGACAGGCACACGCCACGACCTCGTCTTTGGTCACCACCCTGAGCTCCGTGCCATTGCCGAGACGTACGCATCATCGGACAACGCGAACAAGTTTGTCAAGGACTTTGTTGCTGGATGGGAGAAGATTATGAACAACGACCGCTATGACATCAAGAACAAGTCGGTGAGTACACCATCGAGCGGGGCAAGCAGGCCTCGTTTGTAAGAAAAAAAAACAAAGCAGCAGAAAAGAGAAGGAAGTTGAAGAGATGAAGAGAAGAAACAGCAAACGAGGCTGCGCCTGTAACGTTTGTTCCTTGTACACTTGCTTTCCTTGTGGGTTAAACATGAAAAAAAAGGGCACACTCTGGGCTGCTTAGTTTGTCCACTCGCTGACGATTCTTCCATAGACTTGAGTCTTTCCGGCAGTTTCTTTTTCACAAAAGGATCAGGGGAGATTCTTCGATACCTAGATAGCGTTGCTTTAGGAACAGGCAGATAGCATGTACGCCTTTTTATGAAATGAGATATGAATACGATAAGAACCTTTGCCTCCAAGAGAGAGAGAGAGAGAGAGGGAGAGACTGTGTTGCCAATTGTTATCATTTCGTATCATTACGTAGCTGTGAATCTGACAAAAGCTTCGCGTAGGATCCTGGCTACTAAAAAGCCTATAGTGAACAACAAAAGGAGCAAGAGAGGAGAAGTAACGTGCAAAGTGCCCCAAGTACGCCGAAGCGCTTGACTCGATTACCAAGCATGAGTTTCATTAGCCGTGGTCATTCATTGTACGTCCGTCATGCATCATGCACTGGTCTAATGTGCCATTCGCTCATCAGAAGAATCAAACACAACATTGATGAGAGAGAGAGAGAGAGAAACAAAAAAGGGTGTGAACGAGGTCACTAGGGTTTTGCAGACATGTAATAGTATGCCGCAAGCGCCCCACCAATGACAAGGGCTGATGCACTAGAATGAGAAGCCATGTTAGCAAGATCTGTCCTGACTGAGAATGATGACGCTGCAAGGAGAAGAGGGCGTGCATAGAAGGATATAGCCACAAACCACGTGTAGAAGAAACAAGATGCTGGCTTACCTGGCTCGTTTCCGATCGCCAAACAAGAGCTTGAGCGCGCCGCCATTGTGCTTCTCGGGCTGGTGTAGAGATGCCAAAGATGGTACTGTGTTTTCCACCTTATCTTTGGAAGTCGTCGTGTCCTTTGCGAGAGTTTCTGAGGTGTCTGTGTCCTGTGAGGGCTCTTCAGCAAGACCTTTGCGTTGTCGAAGCTCTGAGTCCGTATTGGAAGCCGGTTGGGGTGCTTCAGTTGTAGCATTGAGATCAGAAGTGGGCGGAGGTGTTGTGGCCTTGGTAGGCAAGGAGATGGCATCACGCAAGGTGCTGGTAGATTTTGACTCGTCCTGAGCACCGTCGTATCCGTTTATGCTTTTGGCTTCGCCAATGGGTTCTTTTGCATGGTCTGCTGAGTCTTCGTCTTTGGCCTGCATTATATCTCCCAGTTGCTTACTTGCGTTGATGACAGGTGTGGCGTTGGGGTCACGGGCGAATCCAGATGGTGGATTGGATACACGAAGGTAGTTTTTACCGATATAGATGGGCGAAGGCAAACTGTCAAGGTCATGAGTGTCTTGTTCATCGTCCTCCTCATCGCTATCGTCCGCTTCAGGCACAGAGGCCAACGATGTATATGATTTAACTGGTGCAAGATCAACTGAAGAACATGCTTGCGAGAAGACTGATGGTTGTGGTGAGCAAGGGTGTTCGTGCGTGGCCTCATCTTCGGGGAGATCAGCCCCTATTGAGGCTACGCGCTGCAGAATTAGATCACGGTTGGTGGGAAAGCGTTCTAATGACGGATCGTTTAGGTCTTCGTCCTCAGCATCTGATCGAGGCAATCGATGAGGCAGGCTGCTGTTTTTTCGTGTCTTGAAGAAGTCATATCGGCCAGGCCCACCAAAGAGATTTTGTGCACCTTCCGTTTCGTAGCCAAAGGCAGACTGTTTTTCCGTCGGGAATGGCGCATAGTCTTGTGAAGAAACTGAGCCAGCATGATCAGCGGTTTCCGCTTCGCGCTCGTGAGGCAGGAGAGGCGCGTCGCCATCATCTCCATGATTACTATGAGGCTTATCAAGATGTGATCCTTCGTCCTCGAGATGATTACCCTTGGCTACAATCCCGCTTCCCTTGTACGCTGAGGATTTGCCTTCATGCGCCAGTAATGGAAATCGGTCTAGTTCATCTCCTCCATCAGAGTCGGTCGTAACAGCGGCGTCGTCTGGTAGATTGGACTCATGTGACAAGAGCGGGACTTGATTGGCATGATGGTTTCCAGTCTCTGCTTCGTGGGCAAACAGGGGTACATTTGCAAGCCCGTTGCTTTCGTGGCCTACACTAGTCTCGTGGCTAAGCAAGGGTACCAAGTTCAACTCGTCACCCTCGTCCAATTCCGACGGGGTGTCCATGGCGTCTCCAGAACTAGTGTGATCGGCCGATGAAGGCGTAGACTCTTCGTCAATCGTGTCCATGGAGGGCGGCAAGGGCGATGGGTCGGCCTGGGAAGATTCATGGTGCAATAATGGTGCTGGTTGCTCATCGCCTGTGCCAGGCTCAACGTGGTGTTGAGGTACAGTTTCGACTTTGTCGGGCAATGCGTCAGCAGCCTTCGTGTCATGCGCAGTCTGTTGGGCAGCGGTAGCGTCCTCAGTAGCGTCCTCGGCAGACGCAGGTTCGGTGTCCACCTTGTCGATGACAACAATGGGCACATGAGGCGGTTCCAGCACGTCAGGCTTGGTCGACGAATCCACCTCGCCTGTTTGTTTAGCATCACGCTCCAGATTAGCTGATGGGATGGGTAGTAGGTCCTGGTCCATGGTGCTGTCTTTGCGGCTGTCGAGCCGCTTCAAGGCAGCCTCATGAGAGGGTGCTGCAGGCGGATCGCTTGATGTGGTTGCTTGCGTAGGTGTACTGTCTGGCGCTGAGCTCTGGGAAGGCTCAGGAGCAGCGGGCTCGACATGGATAACATTGTTGCGAATGCCTTGGTCGTCGGTAGCTGCTGTGTGTCAGCGGGGCACCCGAGGGAGCCTGCTTTCAGCCATACCCGTTTGCTTTGACTCGTCCAAGATCCAGTGGTCTTGACCAAGACGGACCTTGTACTGGTAGCTCCCCTGGTCCACATTGGAAAATGTCTTTGTGAAGATGGGGTCGCCCGAGGCGGTCGTGTCGTCGGCCACGTCCATCTCAAGCGGGGTCCAGCCGCTGAGGGAGGAGGTGACATAGACGGGAGGACGGACGCCCGGCTGGGAGAAGGTGATGGTCGCGTGAGTGGCCATGGCGACCTCGGGGCGAGGGGATATTCAAGGGAGTGAATATAGGTAGGAGTGGTCGTGTGGCGGACCAGGCGGACCAGGCGCGGCCTCTGGTGGGGGTAGTTGGAGACTGTTGGGAGAACAAGACAGTTAGCGGTTACAGGCGAGGAATTGAGCGTGCTCACACTCATGCAGTGGCGCAAGAGGGGCTTACTGCAGGTTGCAGTACGTACAGCAGGGGTGTTGGCATTGGCAGTGGCATGAGGGGAAGGCGCGGCTACTACTTACTGTACCGGGCAGGCAGTATGCGAGGGAAGCACCTGCCGTGGATGCGGTAGCACCTGCACCGATGCGAGCAACAAGACACCAGAGAGATGTGGTGCAACCGCCAGTCGAAGAGCCGGCGGAGAGTTGGGCGAGGGGCGCGGGGCGCGGTTTAACACGGGCACGACGGAGCTTGAGATAGGCGAATGCTGCGAGGGGCTTGGGGGCGGGCGGCAGCGTCTGGGCCCAGGGTGATGGTGGTGGGAGTACAGTAGTCAGTACACAGTATGTAGTAGTGCTAGCAGTGGTAGGAGTGACGGTGCTGGCGAGCGCAGTGAATGCTTCTTGCCAGAAGATTGTTGAGCATCTTGTGCAGCGCCACATGGCTCCTCCTCCCCCTCCTCCCCCCTTTGCCCCTTCGCTCCGCTCCATGAAGAATGCAGTGCTTTTTTGATGCTTCCAAGGTGACGTGAGTACAACGTGTGGACTGCCAGCACTAGGCCAGCCACCCGTAGCCTGATCAGGCTTCCCCCGCACCGATCAGCCGCTCCCAAGCCCCTCGCCCTCGCTCCCTCGTCCACCCAGGCATTACTTTACTTATTCCGTCTACCCTTCTCCCATCCAACCTGTTCTGTTCCCTCATTCATTGGAAACTAAGAGTAAAACAACCTCCATCCCCCCAGGCATGCCACAGCCTACCAGTCGCCCTGAGTGCCTGCGCACGGCTGCTGCACCGCCGGCCCAGGCCGAACACCCACACCGCATTCACAACTAGCACAAACCATTGCCGCCCTCGCACCCCTAAACCCGACTACTACATACATCAGCCCATGTTGCCAGACGTTTATGCTACAATTGCCATGAGTAGACTATCACTTTGCAAGCTCGACATCAAAGGCCCAGCCCAGCCAGTGGGTTATGTAAGCCACGGACTCGTTATCCGCAAACGGCTGCCAGGCGAGCGCCCCACCCGTGACCTGGAACCTGGGAGCCAAAATTTCCGTTGTTTCTCCGCCCTTCTTGAGACGTACAAGAGGCTCTTGATGCACTCGACTCGACATGAATAAGTAGAGCCGGGATGATCCGTCGTATTCGTCGGCCCAACCCTCGGTCCCAAGGCCTGTCGTGCTATACGACTACTGTCCATGTACTAGCAAAAAACAGTCGAGCCACTCAACACACTCTACCGCTGCAGGCACCTGAGGCCGTGGGTTCTTCACACGCGCCTGGCTGCAATGTCATTGGGAGCCGTCGGCCCAAACATGGTTTCAAGAGAGGCGTTGCGACAGGCCTCGTCACACCAGTGTCACTCACCACGTTCAAATTTCGAGGCTGGCGCACGGGCCGCACGGCTCCTCCTTCGCGTTTTTATAGTACCGCTTGCTTCTGGAAGTTCGTCCTGGCGTTTCAAATAACGCCGCGTCAATCATGCGGCGGAAACGTTTGCAACGCGCTGATCGACATGGTGCATTGCCAGTGTCGCCATCCTTCCTGCTGACTTCACATCTGTATTAGATCTGAAATAGGCCCCATCGGCGCCATCGCACGCCTGGCCGATCGCCTCTTGCCTTTTCCCTTCTTCTCCTGTCCCTGTCCCTTGCTCGCCATTCACAACCCCATGTCCCAACTCCTCGCCTTGCGTCTCCCACCATCCTACCCTACACGCAATGGGCCACATTGTCTTTGCCAACGGCCATGACCAAGGTCCGCTGCTGGCCAGAGTCAGCCTCGCCATGTACACCGTTGCCGTGACGTTTGTCGCCCTCCGGTACATACACCACCCACCCTGCATGCCTTTGTATACTAACCCTGTCTAGCTGCTTTACACGTGCATGCATTGTCAAGAGATTCGGCCTCGACGACGTCTTCATTGCCATTGCCACGGTCCTTGGGGCTGCCCAGACCGTCACCATCATACTGCAAGTCGAGCATGGCCAGGGTCGCCATACCACCGAGTTGCGCATCGAGCAGTTCAACCACATGCTCATGGTATGCTTCGCATCGCTCTTGCAATCACGCACACTGCTGACTGCCCAATAGTACCAGTGGATCAACATGCTCATATACTTTGTCGCAAACTGGTATGCATCTTCTGTCTGTCACGCTGCCCAACTCCTAACTCAAAAAAATCAGGGCGGTCAAGATGAGCATACTTGCCCTATACTATAGGATAGGCTATGGGAGAAAAGGTTTACCGTGGATTGTCCAGGCTCCTGCTGTATGGACAGTCGCAGGCTTCATGACTGCATTTGGCATCTCCTCATTCACAGTACGTTTTTGTTGCTTGCACTCGCCCAATGCACAGCGCATTGCTACCCTATGCTAACAGTCGCATTGCCCAGGCCCAGCTCTTTCTGTGTGTACCCATATCTCGCATTTGGGACATTGTGCACGCCAATGACGGAGGATGCATCGACGTGTCTGAGTTCATGATTACCTCTGCCGCTATCAACGTCGCTACCGACATTGTCCTTCTCATGTTCCCCCTGCCCTTACTACGGCTCTTCAAGTTCAATCGTAGACAACGCAGTACGTTTACCATTGCTGGGTCTGTATCTAATCATAGCTAACAATTGGTGTAGCGGCTCTGGTAGTCGTCCTCTCTGTCGGATTGATACCCGTTATTGCCAGCACCATGCGGCTATGTGAAATTATCATGGCTGGCAGACCAATCAAACCGGGAAAGGGCTGGCAGGACAATGATTACAGCTGGTAGGCCTTGCATGTCGTGTGCGTTATTTACTGTTACTAACATGGTTTCAGGGGCTGGGCCTGGGTTCCAGTCTGGTCGCAAATCGAAGTCGACGTCAGCATCCTCGCAGCCTCTCTTCCCTGTCTCTATCCCCTGTTCAAGCACGTTTTCCATCCGTGTAGTCGACCCGCCACACCCTCGGAGATGCCCACGCTACCTGGGTACCCTGAGAGCTGGGCAGAGCAAGATTTAGTGAGCAGAGACGGAAGCGAGGATTTGGAGAAGAATCGCAAGAGCTTTGACTTTGAAGACGAAAAGAGGCTGACGGTGCGGGAAAAGGAAATGGGCAAGGGCATCGACATTAATATAAGCGTAATTGTAGACAAGGAGATCGATGTGGGCGAGGACGTGGTCAGGCATCGGTACGACGACGACTTGTCGGCCGTGGCAGAGGAAGACGATGCCATAAGTAGATTGAGTGTCGATTTAGCAAAACCGCCCGACGTCCAAAAGCTGACGCGGGTCCAGACTGGCGACCCGACCGGGATAGAGTACAAAAAATTATGACATTATGATACCTGGCAGAAGCTTGAATTTGTAGGTGCAGGGGCGGCGAATCTGGGCAACAGGGCATCGTCTACCGTAGATCATTATCATCATTAGTTAATCGTTAATGTTTTGTACAGTCACTCATTAAAATACAAAGCACGGCAAACGGCCGTATTACCACCTTCCAAGGCTACTGAAAGCCGAGCCGAATTGATTTGCTGGAACTTGTCGTTAGTCTGATATTTCTCGACAACAGAAAAAAAATCAGGAAAGAAGAAAAGGGAAAAACACACGCCAATAACGTGAAACGAGACCAAAACACATACCATACTGACTCGTGCCATAACACTCACTCGCCTCGGCCTTCTCCATCGCCTTGGGCAACCACTCACGAATCTTCTCCTCGCGATTATGATGGCTCGGATGCGTACTCAGTATCTGCGGGGGCTCACCACCGCCCATCTTCTCCATGCGGGCCCAAAAGTCCATGGCAGCCTGCGGGCTGTAGCAGCCCTGGGCCATCATCATGAGGCCGATGAAATCGGCTTCCGCCTCGTGCTTGCGCGAGGCCGGCATGGAGAGAAAGAGGTCGATGAGGAGTTTACCCGAGTAAAAGGATATGTCGAAGAGGGAGAGTGCGAGGACGCCGAGGAGAACGAGGGGAGCTTGAGACATGCGTTCTCTATTTTTCTTGTGTGTTAGCCAAAAAGTTCCAGTTTTGTGTGTGTGTGTGTGTGTGTGTGTGTGTGTATGAAAGGGGAAGAAAGAGGAGAAAAGAAAAGAAAAGAAAAGAAACGCATACGCAGTATGATGCGCAACCACATGCGCAATCTCATGTCCCAAGACAGCTGCAATCCCATCTTCATCCCGACACAACGGCAGGATGCCCGTAAACACAAACACCTTGCCTCCCGGCGCCACAAACGCATTCTGTTCCGGACTCTCTATAACTGTAACCTCCCAATCGAGACCTTGCAAGCCCTCGCCCTCAGCATACGGCAGCAAGCGCTGCAGCACCTTCTTGATCTTGCGCACGCGCACATCGTTGTCGGGTAGAATGCGCCCAGTGTACTGCTCGCGCACCTGGTCGACCGACGAGCGCCCAATGGCTTCTTCGAGCTGCGGCGGTATAATGTTGAAGCGGCGGCGGCCCGACACGGGCACTTCTTCTAGGTTGTACAGGTAGATTGTGCCCGCGCCGGCGCTGAGAATGCCAATGTCGCGGTAGAAGGCTGGGCGCGCCGCCCAGCGGTAGAGCAGCCCGGACAGCCCGCCTGAGGGACTAGAGAAGCGCTTGTATTGCGGGCGGGCGCCCCGGCCAAAGGGGAGTTGCTGGTAGAAGCGGGGTTGGGTTGGGAGTGGGAGTGGGAGAGGTGCGCGGGTTGCGCTGAGGGTGTGCAACGGCGGTCGTATTCGGTACATGGTGTTGGAATGCGTGCTGTTAGTAAGGTTTAGAGAGTTTGGGTGCGACGCCTGTCACGATATATAGTCTTCTGTCACTCCCAGATGCTGCTATGCT